CAGTGACTGTCCTTGTGCTTTTCAAGGAGGTATATAATGAATATCCCCATGTATTATAAAGGAACAAGGTGGTGTGCAACCCCCATTGTGTTCTTGTAGATTTTTGTGTTCTTGAAATTTATATTTGTAGTATCAAAACAGCAACTGAAATTATATATATATATACACACACACAAACATGCACACATATATGATGAAAGATGGGTGGGTTTAAAAACATTAAATTGTGTTTTACTAAGGAAAACTAATGTCAAATCATGCTTTTTATATAGCTATTTATACCTCAGTCTCTTACCAAATAACTACACAGTAGAAATATCAAATAAAAGTATATTGTGCATTCTTTGATAATGACAAAATCAATCTTTTTAAACAATTTTCCCTTGCAATTATTGGTATATAGGCTTTCATTGTTTCACTCCATCTTCTAGACATTTCGTTACACTCCTAATGTACCATTGTATTTTAAAAGAAACCCGGCATGACAGAGAGGATTAAAATTTTGGAACTGCTAGGGAAAATGTGATTTTTCTTTTTTGCTTAATACTAATGTTCAGGGCTTTTAAAATAAAACTTTTTAGTAATCATAAAATAAGTATTTTCCCCCAGAAAAATTACATTTTGTCAGATTCTGTGCAAGGGATTAGAGAAACACAACAATACATTTGTCAGAAGAAACTCTATTAACTTGATAACAAATTATTTAAAATAACAGCTGCCTTTGAAATAAATATGTGCCAAAGCTAAGACCTACGACTGTCTACATTGTTTATGCCGTTTTTTGTCTAGACACCCACATGTTGGAAAAGCTATTAAAAATGAAATATCAAGCAAGTGTTCAAGCTCCATCCCCCAAAAAACTTATTCTTAGCATTCCCCACTGAAGGGCACCCTGGTCTCCAAATGACGACATTTGTGTTTCCTAAGTATTAGCCTCTATAATATGTGCTATTTTTATTCTATGCCCTGGAGCCATAGTGAAAACATGAGATGTTTGTTTGTTTTTCTTTCATTCATTCTGAATCATTTTCTGCTTTTCCTGAGCTAATACAATTGAGAAAAACATGAAGAGCAGTCAGAACATTTTGGGTCTAAAATCCAAGCCTCACTTACTTGTTCTGAAGGACTTTCATTATAGTCCCTGGCTGCTTCTTGACTTCCTAGATCCAAAGACTGATCAGAAACAAAACTCTTCTGTGCAGACAGAGGTGCTTAACTCTACCCTTACCTGCACCTCTGTGAATCAGGGATGCTGAGTTATCACCAGAGAAGCTGTAAGGAGTTGCTGATACCTGACTTTTAGTTACCTGCTGAGTGGCCCAGTCCCTGGGGATACTTACAGAATTTTAATTCTTTCCTTAGGTGTTAATGTACTAGGCTTTTAAAACAGAGCATAATAGCAGTAAGATACCTTGGGCAGTGTGGGAGGGAAGAACAGAGACAGTTATGCACATATTTTAAGTTTAGAAAGAAAAAAAACATGCTAAATAAAGGAAGAGACAGTAGCAAAGGTAGAGAAAAAAAGTTTAGCACCATCATTATTCTCAGAGGTAGCACATTCAGTGGATCAAAAGGAAAGACAAAGAAAGAGGGCAAGGGTTGAGCCCAAGAACTACCACCCTTTGTACTGTTCTTGTTCTTTGTTTTTGGATCAAATGGGTAAATTTTAGCAGATGATGGCATAGGCAAGGTTTTAGGAAGTTATAGTCCTACAAACTTTATCTATCTATCTATCTATCTATCTATCTATCTATCTATCTATCTATGTATTTATGTAATCTATTCTGGAATAATAAATAATCAGAGTGTTTTGTTTTAGCAGTGCTGTAGCATTGATGTTATATGTGGTGAAATTAATTTAGAATAATCCTACTGTAATCATATCCTGTATTGTTTGAGGAAAGAAGAAAGCATGCACGCATTGAAAATAGCCCTTTAAAATAGCTGCCATGTACTTGTGACCTAGGACAGTAAAATCTGTGCCTGGATAAAACCTAATAGCTATCTCTAAAATAATGTTTTTTGTTACTATGCTCTTATTATTAAAAACCAAAACCGGGACCCATTCATATGCCTGATAGAAATCCTACTTGACATTTAAAATTGGGTTTTGTTTCACTACATTTGTTCTTCCCTGTTTGTTTTTCTATTTAGCTTTTTATAACTCTTTCGGTTGCTGACTGTATGACTTTGTTGTTTTTGTAGAAAGTTGACTCCACAGGGAGGTAGCTAGAGTAGAGTTCTTGGGACTCTAAAATCTAGCTTTAATCCCAGCTCTGTCCTTAGCCAAGTCCCCTTCTTTTAGGTGTTAATTGATCAGACTGTAAAAAAATCAAGCCCAAGACGCATGAAAAAGAAATGTGTTTAAAATGTTTTGTAAGCCCAGTGATAGAGTCTCATGAGGGTTGCCTCATTGGCGCTCCATTTAGGATCCAGGAATAAACATTATGACTGATAAACACATTTTTAGAGTTAAGTCACATTAACTTGAACTTTAAGCTAATTCCAAAACCACCATTTATCTTTAAGCCAAATGATTATAAGACCCATACTTACCTGCAGGAGAAGCATGAAATGGTGGAAGAAATAAGGCCGCATTGTTTTAAATCCATTGCCTTTTTCTCTAAGTTGCTGAAACATTCTTTATGGTTCGATCCCTTAGAGTAAAGACATTTCTGTGAATTCACACACCACAGGTTTGCACTTCGGAATTTAAAGCCACCAGGGCTGTGCCTTGTGAGAAGTAAGAAGGGCTGAGGGACAGGTGAGGGGACGACCCTTGTTTGAATATTTTCCTGAATTATCCCAAGATGGGGCAAGATAGTTTCCATTTCAGTTCTTCAGTCATTCTTAAAAGTGTGGGTGGGTTTAACTACTTTTTGTGGCTTTCAAAAAGCCAACCTAGAATCAATGAAATTCAAAGCATCGATTCCAAAAAATAGTCATGCATCTCAGTGAAATACAGAGTGGCCTCTTACACTTTCCTTCAGGGTCCTCATTTGCACATCTTTGGTAGTCTTGCTGATGCTTGCTCAATTTCAGTTCAAACACTGGAAACAAAAAACACAAAATCAAAACACCACAAAGCAAATACAGGACCTGAAGGGAGTCAGGCCTCATCTACAAACCTTGCCAACGCTGCCTAGGAAGCAGGTGCCCCTTCTCTGGGAGTCAGTCCATCCACAATTGAGCTTTTTGACAGAGAATATAAATTTTTTGACATATCACACTTTGCTATTGAGTAAAATATACAATCCATGTATTTATGATTTTAATTTATATTTCATGCTTTGAAAATCAAAATTAGAAAAAGGGCGGAGGGAAACTTCCTACTTACTGCCATACCTTATCTGTCCCATCCACGTATGCTTTTTCAACATTTCTTTTCAATTAAGAAATATTCATTGGGCATATGCTATGTGCCAAGCATTGCACTACTTGCAAGAAGTGTTAAAAAAAAGACAAAGGAGATATTTTCTCTCTTTTGCTCTCAAGGAGTCTGCAGTCTGGGTTGGAACATAACCCTGCAGATAGCTATCATACTAGACACCTTAGGGTAAGTGCCCTAAGAGATTCATAAACAGAAGTTACTTTAAGAGAGTTCGTGTTTGGAAGGCCAGGGATGATCTCTCAGGTAACAGACCCAGCGACAGAACACATGCCTCTTGTTCTTTTACTGTTGGTTGTTCTTAATGACAATGAACATGGGCACAACTTAAACACAGAGCTTGCTTTATATACCCCTTCCCTCCACCCCTTAACTCAAATGTGGGGGGCAGGGTGGAGATGCATAGCCAGAAGGAACCCTCCAACATGTCACCTTTTTTTGTTTCACCTCCTTCTCTCACTGGCAAATTTATCAGTGCTAGTATCAGAGTAAAGGGATCAGTCAGAAGCCTTTCCCTTCTCTGTTATTTCTCCCACGTGAGTGAAGGTGCTGATGGAGGGTAAACATGACAAACAGTCAAGAACAGAATAAAATAAAAGGAACAGCAGCCATCCTGGATCAATGACCCCTGGAAAATTGAGAATTGACTGTGATTGCAATGGATCAGAAGGGGCTCTCCTATCTCCCAACTAGCTTTCTGCCTAGTTTCAGCTAAGTTTTATTTAGGAGAGCATCTTAGTCTTTAAAGTTGAGTGAGAAACTTTGCATGTTCTGTGAAGACTCCTAACGTCTCTGTGGGTGATGGTGTCACACTTCTTAAATTCCAAACCACTGTACTCCTAGCCCTTCGGAGCCCTGCACAGGAGGGACACTTGCTAACTATAAGGCATGATGACTTGCAGAGCACGCAGCACCAATGGGAAGCAGTAACACAGTGGGTTTGTTGTTGTTTTAAATTTGGTCCAAGACCATTGAGGTTACATAGGACAGAGTATGCCAGGTGAAAAAAAAAATCCAATATTGTCTTTTTCCATTAACTTATTCCTATTTCCATCCTTGTCTTCTTTCTCCACCCCCTCACTCTGGGTCCAGTGGAGAATTCAGGTGACTCACCCATCTGCATGATGATTTTTGGCTGGGACACATCTTGCTTTAAATGTCTTTGGGAAGCTTCTGAGGGTGGAGCAAGAATTAAGAGAGAGAGAGGAATATTGCTTTTGCTATGGAAACAGTTGGGATAAGATGAAACTGATTTCTTTCAATCCCACTGACCCTGGAGACAAATTGGCCAGATCTGGCAGCAAATCTGTCGTCTTGATTTCAAAATAAGATAGCTTAGTACACGTATTGCATGAAGCAAATGTTTGATAATCTAGTTTAAAGCAACCATTAAGATTTAAAATGATGTTTAAAGTTCTGCACTGAGATTTTCCCTTATGGGTGGAATGAATCATGTTGCAAAGAAGATCGCAATGGCCAGTGTTGAAATGCTCTATTGGTCCCCTCTGCCCCTTGCCTATTTTTCTCCCAGATTTTCTTCTCCTCAGACCTGGAGGGTGGAGAGGGGGAAAGGCAGCATTGACACTTTTCTTTTTCTTTTTCTTTTTTTCAGATTCAGAAGAGTAAAAAAGACCTCATATACAATAAAAGAGGCTGCCAATGTCTTGCATCATTTTAGCTGAGCTTCTTCATTCTCCTTCTTCTCCTTCTTCCACAAAGACCCATATCTGGAGAAGGTGTACAACTTTCAAAACCAAGCCCCCTCCACTTGGCCTTCTCTCATTCCATCTCCTCCCAGGGGATGACTCTTTGGGGGTATTAGAACTCGGAGGGATTTTCCCCTGAGCCAACAAAACAACTTGGGATTTTTGCACAAATAGAAACAAAACATGAAGGGACTTCCTCAAAATCCTTTGCTAATGACCTGGCTTTCAAGGCATCTGTCTGGCCTGATGAGAATGGACATCCTGGATGTGCTGGGAGAGGCCTGAAAAAGCCATACACACAGTAATTGCCATTTTACTACTGTCAATGCCATTACCTTAAATGCTGTTATTTTTGCACTGGCTCCTGATGGTGGATACAGCCACGCTGCCTTTCATTGCAGCCAAGATGATGCTTCCAATCTCTGGTTCCTTTCCCGAGTCAGGAACATTTGTTTTCTCCGGTTTCCATGAAGACTTAACATTTGTTCTTATGCTTTTATTTTTTCCATTTGTATATGAAATTCTGTTTGTATTTTTTAAAGGAGATTATTCTATAGGAATCTGTATCTGATGCTTAATTTATTTTATCTGTGCACTCATTAATATAAACCTGAATGTTTCTGCTGTTGATCATACTGGTTGGGGTGGGGGGAACCCATTGTTTTTACCAGGTGGCGTCTATAACTAAGGAGTCACTGAAATTTTTTACCACTGGCTGGTTCTTTTCTTTTGAATATCTGTGGTTTGACTTCATCACTCTTCTTTTGATTCAGTAAAATGCTAAGGGAATTAGTATCAGGGAGATATGTCAGGTAAAATTCTTTGTGTTTTAGTAAGTCTTTAAAAACACCAGGTAGGAGCTGATGAATAGCACAAATCGAAAATAGGAATAGTAGATGTAGCATGGAAGGAGAATAATGACACGGCCCCCGGAAACCAAATGAAAACTGGGATCCAGGGGAGTACAAGTCAAGTGTGATTTTTATGAGTCTAAATGGTGTGATTTGGATAAATGTGGCTCTTAAAATGTGTTCGTGAGTCACAAAGGAATCTCTGAGTCCTTCGCAAGAGTAAATTGTGTGAATGTGCTGGTGATGAAGTGGGATCAGCAATAGGAAGAAAGAGCTGGGCAACAGGCTTAAGTGCTTTCCCCACTGCAGATTTAATTTCTACATTAAAAAGCACAAAAGACAGATATTTTAAAATCCTTTCATTTCTAGGGCAAAAATTAGTATTTCTTCAGACAGGAAAAAGAGAGACTGTATGTGGTCTTCAAGGCCTTTTGCCTCACCGAAATGTTCCCCAGCAGAAAGATTTGGAGACCTTTGTCGTGCAGAATGTATAGCAGCATGCTGGTATTTGAACAGGTTTCTTCTGTCGGCTCTACATTTTGCATCGTAATAACATTTATGTTTTTCTGTTTCCTCCTTGCTTTCCTAGCAGTGACCACGACAAATGACGTGGTCACAAATCCAAATGAGTTCAGGGGCCTAGCAGGTCAAGTAAATGAGAAAAGCCATGTCACATCACAGTTATTGGGATAAACGGCCATTCTTAGTGGGCTTTGGCATTAGGGAAACAGTAAGAGCAGTAGGGGCTGCGAACAATTGGAGACGGGGGTGGCTGGGGGTGATCAGGTCAACAGGCGGAGTTGGTGTTCAGCTAATGGATTTGTGCTGTGTAGGGATGGGGGTCTTAGATACCTAGGACTTTATACAAGCCCTCTCTAAGTTTTTACATACTGGCAACTATTAATATTAGTAACTCAGACTCTTACAGTGTGCTGGTCAAACAAAACATGCCTACAAACTCCATTCAATCCCTAGGACATCAGGTTGCAAAGGACGTTCTTCGAGGTGGTCTGATTTTGTATAGGTAGGAAACACAACCAGGTGTATTCCGTTCTTGACCTTGGAACCTGAATCTTTTACCCCATTTCTATTCTGTATTTTTGTATGTGTAGTTATTTGGCTAGTCAAAATAGAAAGTCTACACCTTTCATTTTATAATCAAACAAGCAGCACCAAACAACATTTGAAAAAGAAACAGGAATATAGCCATTTTTTCCTAGCACCAATAAAGATGGAAATGTTTTTCATTTGCTTTAAGTCAATTAATCAGCTGAAAAAGAATGGGAAGAGAATGTCATTCAGTATAGAACTTTACCTAGAACTCTCACTGAGGAAAAAAAAAAAAGCTCCATGTAACTCAGTCTTAGGTTTAGATGCTTAAAAATTGTTTTGAAGGGACATTGAGTAAAAATGCAAACTTATCTATTTAAAGAATATAAAATAATATATTATTATGCTGTGAATTGATACTAGAGCTGATAAAACATTAAAGTAATTATTCCAAGTTAGTATTGACTGGAAGGACAATATTTCCAAAGCTCTAGCTGATTTTCTGTGGTCTTTTAATTCTCTTGAAACAATGTTCTCCAAGTTGAACAGCAATATGGGGCAAACATTATTCCATTGCACAGATTACAGCATCTTATTCTGGTGTACACGCCCACAGCAAGGACTTACACACCTGAATGAAGAATTGACTGGTGTATATAGACAGCAGTAGGGACAGTCTCACCATGACAAAACCATGTTCTGCGCATCTCTGGGCGGAAAGTGACAAATGAAGTCCTCCAACTTGTGTTAATGTGGTACATTTCAGTGGCAAAGCGACTTACCCTCGTGGGGATCTTTGTTCCATTTTTTATTCATGCCAACCTTTCTTAGGTTATGAGCCCTGATAGTTGATGGCAGCAGACAGGAGACTCAGTTCTAACCTATTAAATTCAAATGGACTTTCTTCCACTGTTCATTTCATTCTTGGAAATTTAAAAACTAGGGAAAACATCTGACAGGATCCCATTATGGATCTGATATGCTTAAACAGTAAGATGGCATCTAAACATCTGAAAGCCAAAGAATACTCTAGTGCTCACATTCAATTCATTTGCACAATTTCAGCCATTATATTATATTTGCCACCCAGAACCATGCCTTTACAAAAATAAAAGTGAACAGGAAAGAGCAATGTTTCACAGGTTGTGAGACAGGAAGGAATCAAAAAGATGGAGACCGATTTTGTTATCCATATTTTGGGAATAAGAATACTGGTTTGTTTTTTATTGTCATTTCTCTTATGGATCACTTTTCTTTAGATAGATAGATAGATAGATAGATAGATAGATAGATAGATAGGATATGGAATATATTTTCTTCTATTCTTTTTTTAACATCTGAGCAGAGATTTAGATAGAAATTACTTTGTAACGTTCCTTATGGAGCATGAGGGAAACAACAGAAAAAAAAGCACAAAATCTTTTTTTCATAATGAAAAATAGAGAAGATACTGAGATTGGAAGCCTATATATGTATTATTATATCCCAAATAAAGGGCATTTGGGGAATTCAAGCAATGTGTTTCTTTTTTATTTTGTTTTTGTTTTTTGGTTTTTTTTTTGCAATTGTAAACTTTGTTGTCCTGATTCTGAGATGCCCACCTGCCCCACAGGAGTTGCAGTACTGGCCCACCACAGTGCCTGGAATGTAGTCAGCATTCAGGAAACACATGCAGAATTGTCAAACTGAATTCCATGCCCCACTTGTGAATGCAAACACAATTCAAATTTCCCTGAAAATTTATTCAGCATCTTCTATATGCCAAGCACATTGCTAAAGGCTTATCTTCTAAGTATATGCAGACGTACCCTAGTCACACAAATAGCTTATCATAAGAGATGGGAAATTGCAGGTGATTTGAAGGAAATTGTCAGAACCAAGTTTAAGGAAAAAATAAAAATAAAAACCTCTCTTTGGTGTTTTGATTTGGGAAGAAACAAAAACCCAGAACAACAAAATAGGATTTATTTGAGAATGCTCTTCCAAAAGGAATGATGACATCAATTTATATGAAACACCAATAGATTTATTTAGAATACAAGTTGAAACTTTAAAAACCCCAAATGGACTCTCTTGGAGCAAATAGGAGCTTCTATATATGTGCAGTGTGAGGAATCATTGCATAGTCCTGCTCCACCGGTGATATGATTGGTAATAGCACTGAACTGTGGCAAAATTGCACATTAAAGAACATAATGTTGCAATGATGATGTTATATTGGATCTTATTCATGAATAAATGGAAAGTAATTCTTGTAATTCATCAACTGTGATCTATGATTAAAGGCCTCATTATCACTTAGAAAATGAACTTAATGGAAAAATCGTAATGAGCAGTGACAATATTCCTATGAAGTATCCCTCTGGGAATCAAGAGACATATTGCCTGCCAAGGCCAGATTTCAGTTTTTAAGGTTTTCTCTCATCAAAGACACTGATGGGCACAGGGGGGACACTAGAATTAGGATGGTACCAGAGTCATCTATCTACATTAGACAGAGTTTATCTGCTATGTGAACATGGGTCCAAGAAAGTCAGAAAAATGCGAAGTAGGCCTCTGCAGGTTGTCACTGAACATGTGTAAAAGACTGGGTGCACTTCCAGGAAAGTCCTTAACAAACAAGAATTGCTTCATTGAAAGAACTTCTTGTTTTTACCTTGAACAAGTGGGGCGGGGGCGTGTGCAGTGGGAGACCTGAACTGAAGGGTGCATACAAGTCAAACTTAAACATTATGAATCCCTGATTGTTTCCTTAAATAGCCCCTCCACCTCACCCATTTTTCTTGAAAATGTTGGAAGTCATATTTGAAATGAATTCACATTTATTCTGGTTTGTTTGCAAGCAGAAGTGGATTGACACTGGCTTCACTAAGTGCACTTGGACACAGCCTAAGTTGGCACCTCCTGAGCCAGAGGAGCAGGGAGTGGAGAGTGGGCACAACCATTCAGTGGCCCCTGGGGAGACCTTGACACCCCAGGGGTAAATGCTGGCTGTCCCAGGACGGAGTCAGTGCCAACTGGAGACCCATCTCTCAGCTTTGGTCGACTTCAGCCATGGTTCCTGAACCTCACCCACGTATTCCTCATGGGTGCTGACTTCTGAACGTGCAGAAGCATTTCTCAGTCAGTTTATGGCACAAGGCAACTCATTTAAAATACACTCCATTAAAACCCAAAAGCTATGGAATGGCTTTTAGATTGCCCTGGAAGCACATCCTTGTATATAGTCTTTGCTTCTCTGTCGTGATCTGTCTTGGGGTACGGATGTGTATACACTACTTTCCTTGTCTTTGAGTGGGTACATGTGTGAAGATACAGAAATACAGTCACATATCTATATACGTAGATTTATAGTCAAAACCTACAGCCATAGGTATTGTCTAGTAAATGATTCTAGAGATAGAACTATATACATTTTGCTTTATTCTTGCTTTGATGATATTTTTATACAATTTTATATGCTGTAAAAATTTTTTAATATATTTGCTATTTTCATTTGTAGAGCCTGGTTAGGTTTTTATCAGCTCTTATGCCCACTGTACAACCAGATTCTCCCCCATCTGATATAAGCGTCCTGCCTTTCTCATACCCTTTCTTTTTCCTTTTCCTTCTTTTCTTCTCCCATTTTTCTACATTTCACAAATTCCTTCTTTTGCCTCTGTCCAGGTAACCCATTTCGCTTGCATCATTTTATTCCATAGAAACACAAACTAATGGGAAAAATAAAAGCACCTTGTTCCAGTGTAGTTCATGTGAGAAAGTGTTGGGTATCAAAGGTGGGGCAGGGGCAGGTAGGGAGGAGATAGATTGGGAAAAAGACACAGGGAAAGGAAATGCTTACGAGAGATCAGTTGCCCAAGGCTCCCAGGGTAATAATATAATGTTGCTATCATCTTCCTTAGGGGGAGAGCACAGTTTTTGCTCTCACAGGGTTTTTCTCCCTAGAATGCTCTGCTCTCACTGTGGGTCTGTAGACTTTCTCCTACTAAGGGCTTGGCCATATGTGAATGGAAAACTCAGCTCATCTCAGCCTTAGGTGTTGCTGCCGTTCAGCAGGATTTGTGGGAAATGTCTGGATTATATCAAGGACATTAGCAAGACTCAAAAGGAGGCGAGCAGAACCAAAACCGCAAACCTTATCCCAGATCATAGTAGTTCTTTGGAAGCATAAGGAAGAGATTTTTGGATATATTCTGGAAATGCTCTTCCTAAAGGGAAGATGGTAAAATGGGCTTATTTTTATTTCATGGTGGTGATAGAATGTACTTCCATGATGTCAAATATGCTTCTGGCAGATAAAATGCAGGTTGTAATCCACATTTGTACATCAGAGGGCAAGAGGATAGCCATCCATTCTAAGGAAGAGTGTTCTGTTCCCTACGATGCTGCTTTGTACTAAAACAACCTGTTCAAACACCATAGCGTCATATCCCCCAATGCAAAATTAAATCATATGGATGTCATGTAGAACAGAGTATACTAAGCTGCTCTCAAAAAAATTAAAGATGTGTTTATTGTAAATCTTTACTGCTCAGATGAGCCTGGCAGTCTTTCAATGTATAATTTTCCTCCAGCATCTAGTAATGCCTAAGTACTTGTATGTTCTTCTGATTACCAAATAAAAACATTGAGTTAACCTCTTAATTGGAACTTGAAAAATGAGAAGGCTGTTTTTTCTTTCCTTTAATTGTTTTCATTGTTGTCCATGTTCTGTCCCAGATACAGGGCTGCCCAAACTCACTCAACCATCTGTCTCTTTTGTATTACCCCAAATGCCACATAGTACCCTGGTAACAAGTGCCTTTGCCTACACATGGGAAGATATACACAGAGTATGACTGTGTTGTGTTTCATATAGTATTTTTTGACTATAAGAGATGAGGTGGATGGGAGAAAATTGTCAAAGGCATAAGAAATCTCAGTATTCATGGAATTAGGCTGGTTTCCATATATTTAATTTTCTTCAAGGTACGATGATATTATGCTTTTACAGCCCTGCAATGCTAGCTTTCAAATTCTAAACTTTTCTCTTTCTCTCAAAAGGGCTATATTTGGCAATATTTTCCTCCTCTCTAGCCATGAACACAAGGAATCTGACTAAGGAATACAGATGCTTCTTGACTTACAATGGGGTTACATCCTGATAAACCCATGATAAGTTGAAAATATAGTAGGCTGAAATTGCATTTAATATACCTAACATACCAAACATCATGGCTTAACCTAGCCTGCCTTAAACGTGCTCAGAACACTTACACTAGCCTACAATTGGGCAACGTCATCTAACACAAAGCCTATTTTATAATAAAGTGTTGAATATCTCATGTAATTTATTGAATGCTATACTGAAAGTGAAAAACAGAATAGTTGTATGCAGTTTCTGCATACAGAACTGCATACAACTGCATACAGAACTGCATACCGTTTCTGCATACAGAACTGCATACCGTTTCTGCATACAGAAACGGTATGCAGTGCATATCGTTTTTGCACCATCATAAAGTCAAAAAATTGTAAATCAAGCCAATGTAAGGGGAGCATCTGTAGTCCTTACCCTCGTTGGTGGGGATACAAGTGGCTTCCATCTTGTATGGCACCCAACCTGACTCTTTCAAACAGGCCCCCTAAGAAGGAGCCCCCTGCTGGTGGTGATGCATATCACACAAATGCCACCCTGTCGTCTGGGCCTCCTCCAACTCCACTGGATTATTACTCTGGTAAATGGTGCTGTGAAACATTCATTGAAATATTTATTTAATTTTTTTTTCTTAAAGCAAAAACAGAACTTACTCAATTTGGAAAATATAGAGAAATATAGTAAGAAACTTAAAATCATTTGTAATACTCCCTCCAATAATTAATCACTGTCAACACATTACTGCATTTTCTTATGGTCTTTTGCTATGTGTCTTTACACAGTTAAAGCCATACAGCCTATTTAATTTTGCATTATGGTTCACATAACATTGGACTGTAAGCATTTACCTGTTTTTGAAAAACTTTTCATTAATATAACTTTAATACCAACATAATATTAATATTTCATTCTGTGGCTCTGGCACAATTTACTTAACCACCTTTCTGGCTGTTGGGCAATTAAGTTATATGCTTTTATTTTTTGCAGATGTAAATAATATAACCATGGAGCTCTTTGCGTATAAGGCTTTGTCACATTTCTGAATATCTCCATTGGATGTATTTCTAGATGTACAATTACTGGGTCAAAAGTTGTGGGCATTTTGGGGGGCTTCTCATTCATAGGCCTAATTCAAATTCAAAGCATATTCAAATATTTAAAAAGTCATATTTAAATAGCATATAGTGTTGCCTATCTGAAGAGCTCTTGTATTTCTGATCACTGTTCTTTGTGATGAAAAGACATAATCAAGGCACACAAGAGCAAGCATAGTATATTGATGGGGCTGTATCATGGAGAAAAAATACTGTTAAACACTCTGAATTTGCAGCTCTAATTTATGTACTATTGGAAGACCACTCAGGGTGGTGCGGGTGGGTTTGAAGCCCTCTAAACACAATCTAAGCAAAACTTGGACTTCTCTTGATACTCTTTCTTGAAGGGCATGAAGGGGCAATGATGATTTGTTCTGAGGCCTCAGACAATGTGCCCAAATGGAGCACAAAGCAGATGTTGCCAGACAGGCTTAGCAATAATGATCAGAGGCTTGTGGATATCAGAAAGGTAGTCGTTTGCAATATGCTAAAAGGAGGAGATTGAAAATGCCCAGTACGTTGACAGAAACTTTCCTACCTCAGTCTCTCAGCATCCACCTCTGCCCTGTGGGACTGGTTGTGTTATAATAACATTGCTGTCATCAGGCCATTAATAATGATGACGTTTGGTCTCAAGGGCTCTTAAATCACCCTTTCCCCAGCAGGCTTGAGCTTGGCCAGGCTAACCCTGGCCCATTTTGCAGAAGGGAAATTATTTGAGGTTAAGCCACAAATCACTGGGGTTTAGCACTAACTTCATGACGTCCCACATCTTAGGTGTGTGTTCACCCTGAGGCGGATAGCCTTGGTTGTCACTTCCATCACCGTCTTCTTCTCCAGACCCTTGATGAATTGGATTCATTGCCCTTTAGCTGAACCAACCAAGGACATTAATTTGAAATATCTGAAAGCTATTCGTTTGTCAAAAGATACCTCAAGTTACACAAGCTGTGGTGATGACATTTCTGCCCCAAGCTGACTGATTGGGTTGTTTACTCTTTAAACAGCTGCATGCCTCGGGTCAAGGACAATGTAATTCCTGACCTTAAAGTGCTTATTTCCCAAAGATGACATATTAGCTACTTTACACACACACACACACACACACACACACACGGACCCCTGTCTTTTTTCTTTTTGAATATAAACTAATAACAAATACTATATTGCACTTCACAGTTTTTGCTAAGGACTTTCACACTTGTACTCCCACTTGATCCTCACAATTATGTCCTGAAACTGATATCTTCTAAATTTTGTAGATGAGGCAAATGAAACTTAGCGATGGCACCACTGATGTAGTTCATTTGTTTTTATTTTAAGTGCCTCATTTGTAACATATTTAAGAATTCTAAAATCACATAAATTTAATACATTGTATTTTAAAAAAAATTTTGCAGAATAAAAACCAGTGGCATAAAGTAGAGCTAGTATAGATAGAGCCAACCAGACCAATTGTTACTTAGTGTGCAGACAATGCAGGCTAAATAGGCCTCTGCAGTTCCCAGCATCGAGTCACAAACTGGGTCTGAGCATCGTGGAAGCCTAAGTAAAAATGGAAAGAAACCTTTTGTAAGGTTCACATAACCCATGAGAATCAAGCATACCAGTTGTTCAGAAGAAAGAAGGCTGCCCCTGACAGCTGGAGGAAGCATCTTCTCTGAGTACTCCCTGAAGGCAGCCCCTCTCCCTCGTGGCTGCAGATCAGGGAACTTTAAACAGTGTCCCTGCCCAGGCCCCAACCGCAGACCACTGGGTAGCATCTTGCGGTGAAGGGCCCGGGCGGGTGTCAGCATATATATATTTTTAAACTCCCCCAGATGATCCTAATATGTAGCCAGGATTGCAAACCTCTGACTGTAGATATCTACAAAAAAATGCAAGAGCCACTAACGTGTTAGTCTGTCCCAAGGCCTTCTGCACACACGGCACCATACAGCACAGTTTAGTGGAGAAGCTCAATCTGGACCTGGATTTTCCAACTCTGTTTCTGATGGTTTTTTCCCCCTGGAAATGGGAGGGAGTGAGAGAGGTACGGTCCCGTGAGTGGAACTTTGAGTAACGTGAGAGGTAATTTGGTAGCTGCAGAGGGGAAAACGATTGCAGGGATACAACCTCAGTGAACTGGGAGGGAGTCTGTGGGAGGCTGACTCAGAACCTGACCACCCCCAGTGGTCCGTGGTGCTGCCTGAAGGTCAGCAGAAATCACGAACAGGCTTATTTTATACATCCCTGCCTGCTACCTGGGTATGACTCATGACTGTGAGAGAAGGGGTGGTTTCATCCTTTTCCTGATATACCAAGTATTTCATCAAGCATGCAGAGAAAATAGCACTTCCAGAAGGCCTCACAGTTCTGCTCTTTCACTTCCCCAAGGCTCCCAGAGGTCCCCATCTCACTCGGTGTCTGCAAAGAAGATACCAAGGGGGTGAAAAGCTGCTTCTAGGAAAAGCCATCAAGCTGCAGGCTTTTGGAAGATAACAGTAGGTTATTGAAAAACACACACACACAATTGCACCAAGCATTCCTATGAAATAAACTGGCAGTAGTGAATGTCTCTATAGGCAATACACTTGAAAGCTTGTAGTTGTTGAGTACTTTGCAGATTTTCAAGTACTCGTGTAGGCAACATTAAATGTGGTCTCTCAACTTCACAAGAGCATCCCTGAGAAGCAGACTGCCGTATTTCCCACTAGTTAGACAAGAAGAAGGAAATTTCTGTCCCACAAGGTTTTCCCAGCTTGCCTGACAATCGGTCACCTGGGGCACTTGTGAAATATCCAGGTCCCCAGGAGTCCCCTCCGGAAATGCTGTCTCTTAGGGCTTGGTCAGGCCTGGGAATCTGGTTTTGTTTTTCCTTTTTTGTTAAAATAATTGTCTCAGGTTTTTCTTATCCTTAGGCAAATTTGGGAGACTGTACTTGGAGGAAACCTAGGTAATGGCTTGGCCAAGAAGCAGGAAAAATTGTGGGGAAGAGTTTCTGTAGGTTTGAACTTTGAAGGATCTTGGCTTAAATTTTGCCCCACCACACACACTCAGTAGCTTTGTGCAAATTATTAATACTTAAATTCCCTCTGTCTCTAAATCCTGTAAAATGGGAGTGATTTTACTGGCAGAGTGTCAGGACACTGTAGGCACATTTCATGCTTCCGAGCTCACACAGTGCCAGGGCCATAGTCACTGCGTGATACGAGGGAGTGACTGTAACTAATGGCCAAGCAGCCCAACTGCCCGACTTGCAGCTCTGAATTAAACATCGAAGTCCTGTCTCCGTCCTAAAACAGTGGTTCTCAGCTGAGGGCGCATTTGCCCCTAGAGGGCATGTGTCACTGTCTGGAGGACACTCTGATTGTCACGACTAGGGAGGTGTTACTGACGTGTAACGGGTAGAGTCCAAGGATGCTGCTGAACATTCTCCAGCACACAGGGTGGTCCCCACCACACAGAACTGTGCGGCTTAAGTGCCACAGTGCCGCTGTGGAGAGACCCTGTCCCAAAGGCTCAATGAGGCAAGTAAAAAGTTTTGTGAGTGGAGGGATAAATGCATGAGTCATTGGTGTCCCCACAGCAGGGGCGGGTCTGGTGGGACGCAGAGGCGTTTCTGATGGAGCAGGAGCAATGTGGGAAGAAGGCAAGGCCAGAGGCACGAGTGCGCATCCTGGTAGCGCCCCCAGTCGGGGCGATTTCCTGCACGCTCAGGGTGCACCATTCTTCTTGTAGGATGCAACTGCAACGTGAGTGGCATCCACTGGGGTTGTGCAGCGAGGCAGCTCTGGCCCTAACCCTTAGTATCACTGTGGGTAAATCTTTCACCCTGGGAGTGTCCAACGCCTCATTAGACCCACGATCATTAGACCCACCGGTGAAATTTTAAAGTGAAAATGTCTGGCTCTGTTCCCCGGAGGTTCTGCTTTAGGGTCCAGGCACAGACCCCGGAAGCCACATTTATGGAAATCAACTCGGGATTCTGAAGTGCAGTTCCAGCCACGTGTGAGCCCTGTGTGTTTTCCGCCAACTCCGACATCCAGGGCATCTGTAAATCCTGGAAAAATAGAGAACTAAAGTCCTGCCAGATACAGCTTCTGTCACCTCCTGCAAATTAGCAGTTTCTGTCCGTCTGCGGAGTTTGCATTGATTTTCTATTTTTATTACTATTAACACGGCTACAACTGCCAGAAATCATAATAATTAACAGTAACACAGAACATCAGGGTTGGTCCCCTGTTCTGTAAGATTAAAATGCAACGATGTCAAACAACATCCAGGGTGTATGTGTCCACTTCTCACCAGGTGTTCGGGGTAGGGACAACAGGCCACCCATCGCCCCCTCCAGCCCCCGGCTTCTGCTTCCTGGATGCCGGCCGGTCCATGGCTCACCTCGTCATCCTCACCAGTGGCCGTGTCGACAGACGGGGTTTTCTCAGTCAGCACAACTCCCACTCACACTCACACCAGGCCTCTGCGTACAAAGTAGACTTTACTAGAAGTGGGGGAGGCCGTGCGGACTCTCAACAGGAGTAACTTAACATCCACTCACACATGTCCTCTGCCTGAGTCCTCTCTGCACCTTGCCAGCTCAGGCTGCAGCCACCTCCCTCACTGCCAGAGTCTGGCTTCCAGGCCTTTCTTCCCACTCTAGATGGCAAAATGAATGAATGAACAGTGTTTATGTTCACATGTAAAATATGTGTGTATATGTGTGTTTGTATGTAGATATATGTAAATGTGTGTGTACATATACACAACCACATATGTATATACATTCCTACACATATAAATTATAAATTTTTTGCGGAACAACTCAGCCCTTCTTTTATTTTTTTCATCCAAATACTTTGTTTTTTTTTTTCCTTTTTTTTTATTTTGGCATATTATGGGGGAACAGATTTTAAGGTTTCAATAAATGCCCTCCCCCCCCACAATAAATATCTTGTTTAATAATCAGATCAAAGTCACAGAGGAAATTAACTCCATTCCAGTCTTTCTTAGAAGCAGACCCGACAGGGTTGCGCTCAGCCCTTCTTTTGTTCTGCTCTCTTCTTACTGATCGCATCCTGGGGTTCGACTTTTCATTTCCTCGTGGTGACCCATTAAACTGTTTATATGAACTAAGATACTCCCCTTCCTAACGGGAATTGTCGCCGGCTGCTGGGGAGCGCAGAGACCCCCTACCCTAGCACTTGCGCAGTCTCCCGCCATGCCCGACACTCTCACATCTTGTCCCTCCCATCCTCACCAGAACACCTGGGTGGGATGGTCGTTATTCTCATCTTGCAGATGAAGACCTGAGCTTCAGGGAGACCCAGTTACTTGCTTGAGCTCCAGGAGAGGATATAGGGCCAAAACAGGGCCCAAATTCCTGCTTCCTTAAGTCTAAATCAGAACTTTCCCTTCCCTAGCAGGTAGTGCTCTGCCCTGGATGCACATTAGAGTAATCTGGGGGGCTTGAAAAATACCCATGCCAGACCTCCACCCTGGTACTCTGGGAGTGGCGCCCAGGCAGCTGCATGTTTAGGAAGCGTCCCTGGTGACCCTACGGTGCAGCCCTGCTCAGGGGTGCATTGGTCCCCAACATACCAACCTGCCGACCAGAGGAACCAGCAGAGTTGCTCCCGCCAAGGTAAAGGCCGCTGTCGCTCCTGGTTGTTCTGGACCATAGAGTATGCACCACCCCACAACCTCACCCAACCTTCTTCTCTATGTTGTTTTCAGACCAAAATCTGATAGCATTCCAGGTGAACAGTTACCTGTCCAGCACGTCTGTCCACCATCCTGCTTTTACTTACCCTCTTTTTCTTCTTTACAGGCACAAAGCGACGTTCTCACGGCTCACCTGCCCCAAGCACTAGCTCCACGAGTCGCCTTACCTTACCAGGTGGGTAAATCCGGCGTCGCACCATTATCTCAGTGACCAGCGACAATGGGAAGGACTGGCTTCTCAGGAGTTGAGTTTAGCAGTTGACAAACTGAGAGGCTGGCCCTGTATGTGTCCACCCTATCCACATTTGTCAGGTCCCTCCAGGAACAGACATAATATTTTCATGGTTGCTTCACAATCCCTTCTACTCACTGATGAAAATAATAGAATCTTGCTCCTCCTTGTTGTTCATCTGGACATACTATGGAAGTATCTGCCTTTGAGATGCAGATGGTACAGGGGAAGGAGTGTGAGTCCCTGGTGAGATAGGGGCGTGGGTTCAAATCCCAACTTTGCCATGTTCAAGTTGTGTGACCTCACATATACTTCCTCAGCTTCTTGAAACTTCTAATCTGTCTGAGTGATGAGCTTATAAGTTTAGCATAGTATTGACACATAGTGGGTGCTTATAATTATTAATATCTATACTATTGAGAAATATGGAAGTTGTGTGTGACTTGAATTGTATCCCATCTAACAGGTACTAGAAAATCTTCAGTATTCATGGTGATCACGTGTAATTACTATTCCATATAAAGGGCACCCACTGGGCATTCTGTCTTCATGCATAGGCTTGCATTCTCTTCTACAATTTAATTTTTATAAGTAAAACTTGGGAAAAACACATCTGTTTTGGGAGAAGGAAAGGGTGTAAAAGGTAAACAAAGTCATTGTAAAACAATTGAAAAATAATAAAAATGATAAGGAGAAAAAATGTTGCCAATAATGCTACCACCCAGAGTTAACCAAGATTACCTCTCCATCTAGTCTTTATGAAACACTTTTTCCCTAGATTTGAATTATGCTCTAAGTGGAGTTCTGTTTCCTCCCTTTTAAAATTTATCATGACGCCATGAAATTGTCTCCATGTTATTAAATAATTGATCAAATATTTCAGTGATTGACTAACATTTCCATGATGATGCCACAATTTATTTATATATTTATTGATAATTTGGCATTTATGTAACTTGCATTTTTATTATTATAAGTAACCTTCCATGCCTGTGCATAAATAATCTTCTGAGTTTGTAAGTATGGATGCAGTACACATTCCTGCAGACAGGATTACTAGCTCAAAGAATACGTACATACACCGTGTTTCTCCGAAAATAAGACCTACCCATAAAAGAAGCCGTAGCAGATTTCTAGGCATTTGCGCAATATAAGCCCTACCCTGAAAATAAGACCTAGCGATGGGCGTGGCTACGCAGCGCATCTGCACAACCCATGCATTTCGTCTAGGAGCGGTAAAGAAGAGGAGCAGCCCTTCTCATCTGCCCCAGAGTGACAGCTACTATCCCATAGGTGACTGGAAAGGTGTGGGCAGCCCCACCAACAAGGTCAGCTCCCCCTGTCATATTCTGGCCATCCTGTGCGTGCTGCAAGCTGAGGCTCTGAGGAGAAAGTCTCCTCAGTGAAGGGAGGAGCGAGACGCTCCGCTTTAGGTATCGTGTGTCCCCAGGGGGAAGAAGGAAAGCTGTGGCTGCCATTTTACTATGATAATGTGCCAGAAGAAGACGACTTAACTATATTTGAATAAATGTAGATTGTTGTACCATTCTTTAAAAAAATAACACATCCCCTGAAAATAAGCCCCAGGGTGTCTAAATATAAGACCCTGTCTTATTTTCGGGGAAACACGGTATTTAGGTTCTTAATGCATTGTTGTGAAGGTGACTTTCAGAAAGGGAGTATTAATTTATACTTTCACTGTGAGTTTGCATATTTCACTATCCCCTTGCTAATGCTGAGCATTATTTTCAATACTTTACCAATTTGATAAGAAAAAATGATATCCATATTCAGTTTGAATTTATCTTTTTTAAAAAACCTGTTTTCTAATGTTAATTTATCATTTACATTTCTTCCTTTTGTAATTATCATATTTCATCCATTGTAAGAGGCACGTTGCCTTGCATTTCAACCTCTCTGAAACTGAGATGTTTTGCAATCAATGGTGTGTGATAATTTAATTAGCAACATTTTTTTTCTTGGTAGCACATGGAATAATAGTTCACTTTATAATTAGTGGCATCTTCGAGTAAATGAAATATAATCTATGTCTACCTGCTTTTCTAACTTCCAATTCTGTAGCTCCCCTACCCCAGTTCAGTAACTGGACTGAGTGTCCACTGAGTACCCTTGAACTTTTCTTGCTTCTGTGGCTGTCTGGGACCCTCCTTACCCTTTTCTTCCCTTGGCTCATCTCTCTCTATGCATCTTCTCCAAATCATTCATGTAGAATTAACATCACATTACAATGATTTGCTTATAAGTTCCTATACCTGTGGACAAGTGGATTTTGCCATGATAGGGACTGTTGTGTTCCAGTGCTGCCAAGGTGATGGGCACATGTCTGGTACTCACGAATGTTTCTTAGCTGTGCATGCAGACAGGTGTGTGAGCAAGCTCCCATTTAATTTATGACTGTATGGACAGGAACCATCCTCAGCAAAAAGGCTCATTTTAAGGTTTGGACTTGCTTCAACGATACTAACTTGATTTTTAGTACTTGAGTAGACCTTGCTCTGTAGTCTCCGGAAGCCCTGTGCATCTCGTCTCTGCTCGTTGGTTGTTGTGCTCTTAGGACTATAGAGCATTAGGAGGAAAACAGCTTTAAATCAGGCAGCTCTGGTGTGAGGTGATGATGTGTGCTCCGCGCAAGGTCGTAACATTGCTGCCTCAGGTGGGACCTCTGAGGTCATCTGGTCATCATCTACAAGAATGTGCAGTCTACAGAAATGACCTGGGTCCCACTTGCTCTGCTGGGGCTGGCCAGCCGGGTCCCAAGGCCTCTGACTCAGCATCATAGTCACCTTGTCTTCGGCCTTAGATGGGCAGTCTAAACTGGTCCCAAATTGGGTGTCTTAGGTTCAGAGTTCTGACCTTCTCCAAAGCCTATGGGGAGGAATGGGTAGTTCTCAAAACACAGACACAGTTAACCATGCTTTGACTAGCAGACCCACTCACCTCACTCATAACAATGCCCAGCTCTCTAATCTCCCTTCAGACCACAGGAATATCTCAGAGAACCTACCTCTGACTCAAATGCCTCAAGGGCCTGTCTCTAAGCCCAGCTAGTTCCCACTCACAGCTCCACCCAGGATATCACATTGCAGCTTTTAAAAACCTTTGATTATACAGCCAGTGAATGCACATAGTTGGGAATTTAGGGTTTATGCATTATTTTCTTCAACACCATCTAAATGGCCAGATCTGATATAATCAAATCAATCAGCTGCAGACTAATCCAATTCAGTCATTAAGAGATGAAAACATTTGATGAGAATTCCAGGTGAGATGGCCTAGTAAGTTCATTTTTTGGACACACACTCCTTTGCTCTAAACATATGCAAATAAAATAAATTTTCTTTCCTTCCTTCCTTCCTTCCTTCCTTCCTTCCTTCCTTCCTTCCTTCCTCTTCTCTCCTCCTCCCTCACTCCCTCCTCCCTCCTCTCTTCCTCTCCTTCCTTCTCTTCCTTCCTTCCTTCCTTCCTTCCTTCCTCCTTCCTTAACCTCTTCTCTCTTTCTTGAAGGCCAATGCCAGAGACAAACAGCTCGAAAACCAGGAAAAAAAAGGGAATCTACATATCTGCAATTGACACCACCAGACAGGGAACCATGGGACAGCTTCACATCTTAGGCAGGGAGTGTCAGGAAGGACTTTGAAAGTGCTCAGAAACACTGGAAACAGAGCCAGAACATAGCCTGACATACAGGCAATAGGGTGCAGGCTTAAAAAACCATTTGCTGACCCTTTAACTTGAGCCCTACAGCTTAATAATACTAATAATAGAGGAAAATGTTGGAAACACTCTCCTAGACATCGCCTAGGCAAAGAGTTATGAAGAAGTCCCCAAAGGCAGTCAAGAGCAGCAACAAAAAAAAATAAATGGGACATGATCAAACTACAAAGCGTCTGCACAGCCAAAGAAACAGTCATGAAAGTAAACAGACAACTTACAGAGTGGGAGAAAATTTTTGCATTGTACATATCCGATAAAGGGCTGATAACTAGAATATACTTAGAACTCACGAAAATCAGCAAGAAAAAAATCAAATAACCCTATTAAAAAGTGGGCAACGACTTGAACAGAAACTCTTCTAAAGAAGACAGAAGAATGGCCAACAAACATACTGAAAAAATGCTCATCATCATCTCTAATCAACAGGGAAATGCAAATCAAACCACAATGAGATATCACTTACACTCCAGTGAGAATGGCCTTTATCAAAAAGTCTCCAAATAACAAATGCTGGCATGGATGCGGAGGAGAGGAACCACTCTCACACTGCTGGTGGGACTGCAAAACTAGTGTCAACCTCTGTGGAAAGCAATATGGAGATACCTTAAAGTGATACAAGTGAATCTACCATTTGATCCAGCAATCCCATTACTAGGCATCTACCCAAAAGATCCAATGACACTCTACAAAAAGACACCTGCACTCCAATGTTTATAGCAGCACATTCATAATTGCAAGGCTGTGGAAACAGCCCAAGTGCCCATCAATCCAAGAATGGATTAATAAAATGTGGTATATGTATACCATGGAGTACTTACTATTCAGCTCTAAGAAACAATGGTGACATAGCACATCTTATATTTTCCTGGTTAGAGCTAGAACCCATACTACTAAGTGAAGTATCCCAAGAATGGAAAAACAAGCACCACATATATTCACCAGCAAACTGGTATTAACTGAGTAGCACCTAAGTGGACACATAGGTACTACAGTAATAGGGTATTGAGCAGGGGGGAGGGGGTGGGTATATATATACATAATGAGTGAGATGTGCACCATCTGGGGGATGGCCATGCTGGAAACTCAGATTTGTGGGGGAGGGGGGAAAGGGCATTTATTGAAACCTTAAAATCTGTACCCCCATAATATGCCGAAAGAAAAAGAAAGAAAAAAAATAATACCAATAATAAGCTGTTGGCCTAGAGATG